CATTATTTTGGCTCCTATAATGGCAAGTTGGGATTATCTGTATGAAAGATCACTGAAAGATAAGGTGAGTACAAAAGTTGACCTTTTAAATTAATTAATTTGAAACCTTTTTTGTGCCACTATTTTATCCATTAAAAATAACATGTCTCCTATATTCTTATAAATATGCTTATTTTTCCTGAAATGGAAATTAATATTAGAATAAAAATAATTTTATTGTATGTATTTTAATGTTAAAAATTATATTGTAATTCTGATTAAATGTAAATAAATTCAAATATACCACAGAAAACAAAGAAAGGCAAAGTAAAGAGCAATTCAAAAAACTTAACTGGAGAAAAGGACTAATACTGACAAATGATCATATTAATAAATACAATGTATTTGTTTACCCTATAAAGAGTTTGTAAAAAAGAAACATTTTATCTAAAGTTAATGAGACACACTTGAAATGTCAGCAATATACAAAAAGTTTAAAAATAATATTAAGAAAAAAATTAAAAAACAAATAAAAAAGGTCATTATATACTTTCAACAATACATGTTCCAAAAATTTCTAAGAAAAATGACTCAATTATTAGATGAAATGTTGGAGACTTCAACCGTTACAAAATCTGTGCAGAATGGAATATAAATAGAGTCAAAATTAAAATATTTAAAAGAGAAATCCTATTCTCCAGTAATTCTTATCTTTTTCACTGTTCCTTTGGAGAATTTGATTATATATAGAGGACAAGTCTCCAGACACATTTTGCCAACAATTTTAGGTATTCAAGAACTTTTTGAAGCTACATTACCATCCTTTTTTATATATTAGGATCATAATAACTAACATTTATAAGGCCTTCCTAACTGCTAGGAATCACACTAAACACTTTATATTCATTTTAATTTAATTTTTATAACAACATTATAAGGTAGGTTCCACTCTTATCCTCAAACAACCTATGAGATCAACATTATCATTATTTTCATTTTACAGACCAGGAGAGTGACCATTAGAGATGCTGTTACTGAAACAGGAGGCAAGGCGGCAGGGAACAACTTTTAAAAGAATGATATGGCCATAGGACATGACAAAAACTAGTTAGAACCAACTAGGTCCAATGTGGCAGAAGATCTGACTTCCTGTGGACCTCATTATATGCCCATCATAACACATTAGCAAAAGCTAAGTGACACACCCACCAGTGCCATGACAATTTCAAGCTGGACCATCAAAAACCAAAAGGTTGACAATAGTCCAATTCCTGGAAGTCTTTGTCCCTTCTTCAAAATATTTGCAATAATCCTCTCACTCACTAGCCTATAAAATTACCCAATACATAAAAACTAACCACCCCATAATTCAGGACCTCTTGCCTTCTGAGATGGCCCACACTCTATCTGTAGAATGTGCTTCTCTCTAAATAAATCCACTTCTTACTTATCACTTTGTCTCTCACTGAATTCTTTCTTCGATGAGACATTAAGAATCTAAGCTTCATTAAGGGCTGAGACCAGGTATGTGATATCAAGACCATGAGTTCAAATCCCAATCTGAACAACCTGCACAGTCTCATTACTTTTCCAATTGCTCAATTGGTCATACAGCCAATGAACAGGAGAGACAGGATTTATTTATATCCTTATCTCTCGGATCCCAGGGTTTTTTTTTAGCTCTTAAGCACTATGATACACTGTCCCTCACTAAGGTCATTTCAAATTAATTAAAAAATCAATATATATGAAAAAGAGATATAAACATATCTCAAAGTATATCCAACCACATTTTAAAATTTATATCACCCTCATTGCAAAAGAGAATTTGAAGTAGTTACAGAGATACACACAGAATAAAAAATAAATATAGGAATGTGTGGGGATGGGGTAAGATGTGAGGATGGGCTAAGAATGTGAAGTGAAACGAGAGGCAGTCCCGGAACAAAACTGGGTATCATAAGATCACCTGTGACTGCTATAAAGATGAGCCACAGATTTGCCTCTGCACAACACAGTAGCCAGAGAAAAGAACTTAATAATATTTTTCTTGGTACTAAACTGGAGAAAAAGATCTTTTCTAGGGAGCAACAACATAATATGATAAGACTTTAAGACAAACATTTCTCACAAGAAATTTCTTACACATTCCCTGATGTAGACCAAAGCACGATGTGCCAGTATATGTCAGGAAAGACAATTCTATCCAGGCTATAATGCAGTCTCAGAATACAACTCTATAATGAACTGGATTAGGCAGAGAGTACATATGGACTAGATGGGGAAATGGACAGACTGTATGTCCTTCAGGTAATGTTTCTGTCAATTAAGCTTTTGAGTTTAACAACTAATAGCTTATTTTCTCCAACAAGAACCTGGAGTACAGAAATGCTACATTGTTCAGGAGGCCAGAGTCATATGCACGGACAATCATGCAGAGGGTAAAACTGAGAAATTCCAGTGGAAGCTAGAGGGCCCAAAGAGAACATACATCTGAATTTTAGACTTTTCACCAAAGTGAAAGTAGAATAGCATTTATCTATACGTAGAGATATCATCTAATTCACACCAATGTGTAAATATGTAGTATTTAAGACACGGCTGAAATCCAAAGGATGTTGCTATAATATACAGTAACGATATTATGGAAAGTTGCCAGACAGTACTTGAGAAAACATATTGCTCTAAATGGCTTTATTAGTTTAATTTAAAATAATAAATTAAGTATCTATATAAGAACATAGATATGGAACAAAGTAAAAACCTTACATATGTAAGAAAATCAGAAACTGAAAGAGAAGAAATAAACTATTACAATTCATAATAACGAATATTTAAAAAGCAAGTCAGAGTTGCTACTTTGAAAAAGAACCAAGTCACAGCACTGATCTAGTAGCTAAAAGAATCAAGTTAAGAGAATTCAAACAGAAAGTTATTTCTAAATTTTATTTTGGAGATGAAGAAGAAGGGACAAAATTAAGGTCATAAAAAGGAGAAACATTAAAGTTATGTCTTAAAGTTAGGTAAGATAAGGACAAACAGGAATAGAGTACTGGGAGTGGAAAGACATTTTGGGAAGATGAAACAGCCTAAGGGTATAGAGACAGAGAAGCATACCTGTACTACTTAGAAATAAGTTGGTAAGACTGAGACGAATCATGGAGGATCTCATTATCACTGAATATGTAGAAGTAGGAAGGAAGAATAAAGAGAAAAACAGAAGACCAAAGTCTGAACTTTCAGGAAACTCTCTTAGGGATAGCAAGAAACAAGGTCAGTTTGAAAGTGGGGGAGACAGATGCTCAACAAACATTTGCTGATTGAATAAAAGAAATGGCCATTACTATATATCGTTATAGAAGTCAAAAAACAAAAATGAGTCTAGACATTTTACAAAGAAAATGTGAAAGCAAGATGATGTACTATTTGAGTAAACCTAATTAGGAAAACCAAGAACTACAGAACAGCATAATACAAATAATTTACTATCTCATATTATATTTACCTTTATAGGTATGTATCTGAACATGTTTCTCTGTAGCGTTGCGAGAGAATCCTGAATCCATGCACTTTTTAAATTTAAGTGTATATTTTTCATATGATAGTGATGGGAAGGTATTTAAAATAATTCTGGAGGAATTATCAGATTAACTTCCCTCCTCACATTGGTAACTTAACTACATTCAGAGAATTCTGTATATCACAGTGAGCAAAACCAAACTCAAAAAGTTTCTAAGTATTCAGAAAACAAGCCTTCAAATTCAGCCTCCTTTATTTATGTTTTATCACTAGACAAAAGAGGTAAGGAATTTATTATCCTGGTGTTGTCACCCTATGAAAAGATGCTGTTGCAACATCAAAAGATTATGCACCACAACAACGGTGGTTATATTCTTCTTAACACTTATATGGAAGCCAGAATTAACTAAAATATTTGATTTTTAGGAAGTAAACTGTTAGAAGTTGGATAAAAAAATTTCCAGACAAGATTAATGGATTTGAAAGTTAAGTCTCTCTATGTCTCTCTTTCTCTCCTCTATTTCTATTTTTGTTTCTATATTTCTATTTCTATTAATATAAGTTTAAAAAATAAAATTAAAATCTTCACCTAAACTTAAGGGACAAGTTGATTTCCATGCATTTAATTATAGTACCTTACTTTAGTAGGATTATATTAAGGGTAATAATAATATAGAAGTCTAAAAAATATTTCAGAGAACTGTTTAAGAAACTGTCTTGCCTATTGTCAGTGAATAGGCAACGATGCCAAATTAAAGCAAGCTCATATGTATGTATAAACCCCCACCCCAATATCCATACACATATACCCCATACCCAATGCCACACATACACTGGGATGCTCATTCACCACTCAACCACACTGTCAGTCAGCAACAGCAGAAACATTCATGGTTCTCTGTTAACAGGTTAACATTGGCTTTTGTTTCCTGACCCAAAAGTATATGGAAAGCGAGAAGCAAGGCATTTATAAATTCAGTTACATGAGTAGCTGTTTCAAATACCATAGGGACTTCATATTATGGAGTGAAGTAACATTTTCTAAAACTTTATACAAATAAACAACACTATACCAGTAAGACATCTTGACATTGCTAACCCAAATGTATATAGATATAAAGTGGTAAATCTGTTTAATGGCAGTACTGCCACCCTTACTGATGAAACCTAAGTTGTTAGTATGGCCTTGGATATTAGACTATTTGTGATACATTTGTATACATTCTGGCTTATGTAGTTTAATTATAGCCTCCAATGCAGAGGATATAAATCATAGGAAATACAACATGTTCAAGGTAAGTGTCTTTGTTTAAAAATCATTGTTCAGTGAGCACCAAGTTTTGAATACTTTTTACTTTCTTGTGACCATTCTTTCATGCTCAGAAATGTACCTGACATTCAGAATGCTTTTTAAAGAAATATAAAATGTACATTAAAATATGGTTCATAAGATAAGGATTTGAAGTGAGACTGTCAAGTATAAATTTAAGAAATACACTTACCTTTGATTCGAGGTAGACATCTGCTGATGACATTTTTGTAATTTTGCATATGTAACTAACTAAAGAGATGGCACAAAGAATAAACAGGCTATCATTAATTAATGCTCGAACAAACACAGTCCATTTCAACTGATTTTCTGGGACATCTCCATGGACTAACATTGCGCAAGTCAAGTTCACCACTAAAAAGAGAAGGCTTGCCAATATAAAGCCCAAATGCAACAGAATTCTGAAAGAAAAAATGAATTTATTAGATTTTTATAAAACTAATGAGAAACTAAACTCAATATTGAATTAGTGTGTTACTTTAAGTACAATAATTCCTTCAGTTTAAACTGTAATTTCATTAAATACAAATTTAATAATTACAGTTACTTAGGATATTTTTGCAATTATGATATTAGTAACTAAGCCATTTAAAAATGGCATCAGATTTTAAACCATGAATTTAAAAATAATCTCATGTGGACTTGAATTCAGTTGCCTCTATCAGGAAGAGTAATATAGGATTATCTTAACTAATTAAAGTAATGCTGAATTTTTCATTTTGTAACTGCTGAGCACATTTTCATTGACCTTTCCATGCTAAGAATTAGCAGGCTTCTAAAATTTTCTTGGAAAATTAATATACCATATATAAATTTAAATTGATCACTAATATTAACTTTAGAAGGTAAGGGAAATGTGTTTTAAACAATACTCCCCTTTATGAACATCTGATTATAGGAAACATTTATTTCAAACAAGACTAAAAAGGAACATAGGGACAATATATGTAGAGTTTCATACACCCATCAATATCTCATCTTCTTATAAAGTGGCATATTTATTATGCATACAGAACTACTCCCAAAGTAGAATGCTTAACTACTTCCCCTTAAGAAAAATTAGACCACCTCATAAAAACTCTTCAGGTAAGGTGTGGCTCTCTGTATCAAGTAGCTGGAACAGCTATCTATATGAAAGTAACTCAATTCAAATACATTTATACTCCAAATTAACATGATCCAGAAACTTATTTGCCATTCTAATAGCCTCTACTTTGGGTCACTTTCAATAGTGGGAATTACAAAACGTTGTTTGCCTTTGTAAGTAATTTATACAAGGAAAATGGAAGGCAATGTGTAATCTGTAACAAGCAATCTTTATTAAGTATACATGCAAAATACAAGGATTCTAGTTTGAGAAGTTTAGATCTTAATATTCTCTCAGGTTAAATAATAAAAATAATAATTATATAGCTTGAAACCTAAAATGAACCTTGAACTTATCCATACATTCAGGGAATTACAATAGATTAAGAATAAAAGCATCAAGAGGTTAGATGAGGAGCATTGCTGCCAAGTTTATAGATGAATTGGTCTGAAACCCAAGGCTCCTGACTCCCCAGTTTAGCAATCTCATTTTCGAGGTGAATCAGTACAGAAACATTACTTATTTCATGGAATGACACTATACATTCTCACTCCAAACAGCATAATCTGTTTGACTGTGAGAGTATAATCTATCTTGAGAATTTGTGGACCCTATGAAACTACATCTGACATCTGAAGTGGGACAGTGGCAGAGCACCAGAAAAGGTATGCGGCAGCAATACTGCTGAAGGGGGAAGACCAGATTACTCAGTTCACTTTCTATGAACTAATCTAAATACATAATCTTCTACAAAACTGCTAAAGCACCCTCAACTACCAAGCCCTTCTACCTTGAGAAGTATACTGTAAAAAAAATTTACATATGCTACTCATGAAACTTACTTGTGTTTGTCAAGTTCAGTTGCACATCTGACTTTACATATAACCTATAAAGAGAGTATAGAAAAAAGGTTTTGAAAACATGTAATACAGTACTCTTATATTTGCTTTGAATATGTATTTCAAAGTGATACAACAAATAATAATAGCAAGTAAACCTCAAATGTTAACAGTACAATAAATTAATAACTTTCTTTGGTATAATTTTAAAATTAAATTTCTATCTTTAAATTTTTAAACTGAAATAATTCAGTTTATGCATTTATTGAACTTTTATCTTGAGCCAAACATTGCACTGGATGGCTTGTAACCTATTTTAAACTTATCTTAAGATGGAACAACTTACTTAAATATGAATATGGCTGAGTGTTCTCCAAATATTATTCCCCCATAAGATGAAATGAAGTCATTAAAGGAAACAAAGGACCAAAAAATGAACACAAAGATGATCAACATATATCATATTTAGTTAACTTACTTCTTTCATAAAGTCTTGCAAAAGGCAGGTCCTCAAATACTTGATGAATCAAGATAAGCAGGTAGATAAGGCGAATTTGAAATAAACATGGTAACTTCTGAGAACATGGGTGGAAGGTCTAAATTCTTGACTGGTGAATTTGGACTTTACTTTTTATATAGTGGGAAGATAATGAAAGTTTTCATGTAAGCACTCCAAAATACTTCATTAATCTGGCATCAGAGTACACGCAACCACAGAGAAACTACAGGCTAAAAGTAGAAAGGCTAGGGACTTCCCTGGCAGTCCAGTAGTTAAGACTCTACACATCAACTGCAGGGGGCGCAAGTTCAATCCCTGCTTGGGGAACTAAGATTGCATATGTCCACAAGGCTCAGCCAAAATAAATAAATAAACATGGAAAGACTTGTTATAAGATTATTGAAATAGATAAGAACTTTGAGTGGGGGTGGGAGTGGGGTTGGGGTGGGGGAATCTAGAAAGAGGCAAGTACAGAACGTTATAAAGAAACCTAGTGTAAGTCTTTAATAACTTACTGATTTTACTCAAACAATTACTGAGCACATACTATGAAAGGTACCATGGATTCATAAACCTAGTAACTGTTTCTGCCCTCAAGGAGCTCAGTGTATGGAAGAAAGAGGTAAACCAACTATTTTGAAACATGGTGATATCAATGCAAAAGATACTGTTACAACATCTAAGAAGGAGAAAGACTAATTCGATCCAGGAAATGGTGAGAGGTAAGGAGAAAGAGGAGAGATTATGTAGAGTCAGTGAAAGAAAAAGTCACTCAGTCAAGTCCAACTCTTTGCAACCCCATGGACTATGCAGTCCATGGAATTCTGCAGGCCAGAATACTGGGGTGGGTAGCCTTTCCTTTCTCCAGGGGATCTTCCCAACCCAGGGATTGAACCCAGGTCTCCTGCATTGCGGGTGGATTCTTTACTGAGTTATCAGGAAAGCCTGTAAAGAGTCAGGGAGGGCTTTGGAAGACACATTTCAGTCAAGTTATGACGGATAAATGAGTATTAGGTAAATGCTCAGGCAAAGATAGCAGCTTGTGAGTTTACATATATCTGTTATGTTTTGGTTAACAGTGCCACCATTTACCAGAAGCTAGATGTGATAAAGGATTCTAAAATATCAGCTTGTTAATCTCTAAATTGTACCACTAAATCATTCTCAGATGTATGTTTTCTTTGTCACTAATACTATACTGAATTATTACTACAGCCTTTTAATTGGTCTCTCTGCTTCCATTCTTAACTCCATCTATATCTTTAGAACATAACTGGGCATTTTGCCATTTTCCCTTTATTCTCACCTCTCTACATTTTTTATTTTTATTCAAAATTATACTAAAATATATATAACATAAAACTACAACTTAACCATTTTCAAATGTACAGTTCAGTTGCATTGAGTACCTTCACATTGTTATGCAACCATCACCATCATCATCCACATCTGGGATTTCTTCATCCTCCTGAATTGAAACTCTGTATCCATCTAACAATATCTCCCTGTTCCTCTCCCCTAGTCTCTGGCAATCACCATTCTAATCTCTGTCTCTATGAATTTGGCTACTCCAAGTACCTCATATAAAAGAAATTATACAATATTCATCTTCTTGTTATTGGCTTATTTCACTCAGCACAATGTCTTCAAGGTTTATCCATGTACATCACACGTGAGCATCTGTCAGAATTATCTTCCTTTTTCAGCCTGAATAATATTCAATTTATGTATATACTATATTTTGTTTTTATATTCACCCATTGATGGACACCTGAATAGCTTCTGCCTCTTGGATACTGTGAATGCTGCTGCTTGGACACCGTGAATAATTCTATACAGGAATATGTTTTGCTGTTGCTCATTCCCTAAGTCGTGTTCAAAGCTTTGTGACCCCACGGGCTGTAGCACGCCAAGCTTCCCTGTCCTTCACCATCTCAGAGTTTGTTCAAACTCAAGTCCATTGATTCGGTGATGCCATCCAATCATCTCATTCTCTGTTGCCTCCTTCTCCTCCTGCCCTCAATTTTTCCCAGCATCAGGGTCTTGTTTCTTCGCACCAGATGACCAAAGTATTGGAGCTTCAGCTTTAGCATCAGTCCTTCCAATGAATATTCAGGATTTGATTTCCTTTAGGATGGACTGGTTTGATCTCCTTGCTGTCCAAGGGACTCTCAAGAGTCTTCTCTAGCACTACAATTCAAAGCATCAATTCTTCAGTGCTCAGCCTTGTTCATGGTGCAACTCTCACATCCGTACTATATATGACTTCAATCACTTAAGAGTAAGTTGCGTATGCAATGCCCCTTTACCTTTAAATATATCAGTGTATATGATACTTCCTTTATAAAGGAAATTCTCTTCTATATCCAGTACAATTATAAAAATAATAAAATTGATATTGATAAAGTATCATTATCTAGTCTGCAGACCTTATTCAGATTTTGCCATTTGCTTCCCAAAGTGCCATTTACAGGGTGAGGGAGGGAACCCAAGATTATACATTGCACATAGGTTTATTGTATACTTAATTCCTTGTTATTTTTTCCCTTTGTCTTTTATGATATTCAGTTTTAAAGAGTTTAGACCAGTGATTCTGTAGAATGCTTCTCACTGGGTTTATCAGATAGTTCCTCATGATTAGATTCAGAATATGCATTTTGATAGGAAAACCACAGAAATGATGGCACTGCATTCTTCCAGTGAATTATATTATGAGGCTCACGATGCTGATTTCTCCCATTACTGTGATGTTAACTTTGATCATTGGTTAAGATGGTATCCACCAGGTTTCTCCACTGTTTAAGTCACTATTTTCCCCACTGTAATGTGGAGAGATATTTATATTCTTATTTTTTATTATGTTTACTTTTAATTGGAGAAAAATTGCTTTACAACGTTGTGTTGGTTTCTGTAGTACAACAACGGGAAGCAGTCATAATTATACATATATTTGCCCCCTCTTGAGTCTCTCTTCTCTTCCCCTCATCCTGCCACTCTTCGTTGTCACAGAGCACTAGCTGGGCTTCCTGTGTTATACAGCAGCTTCCTGAGATATCTAACGTCTAGTAAATGTCTTTTCTTCTTCAAACTTTCACACACTAGTTTCAGCATCTATCAATCATTCTTGCCTGAATAAATTATTACTATTTGGAACACTTTGTTTAAAAAAAAATGAATCTGATCATACTATTCCAGGAAAAAGCCCACACTCCTTTGATACAGCAAAGGTCTTTTATCACCCAGCTCCACCTTCCCATCATTGAATCCTTTTATCCCTGTCTTCAATCTTATGGTCTGCTTATTCTGAATTATTTACAACTTTCAAATAAGGGGTTTCATTTCACATCTCCACGCCTTTGTACATGTTTTCACTTTACGTGAAATATGATTTTATGGTCATACAACAAATTCTAATTTATCCTTCAATACCTTACTCGTGTGTCATTCTTTGTTTCACCTTAAGTGCCTTAGGAAGAAGGAAACCACTCTGTATCCTTGCATTACAAATCACACTCTATGGCACTTACTCACATTTTTATCCCCCTCTTAAGAGAGGCTGTAACTTACTCATATTTATAGTCCCAGTGCCCAGCATAATGCGTGGTTCATAGTAGGTTCAGAAAATGTTTGAATAAGTGAGCAGTGAATTTAGGTCAAAGCAAGTACTTTGGTATGTCGCTGTGGTGTGAGTGAGTATTAGAAATACGGCACAAGTAGAAACTGAAGGGAAAAGCAGTCGGCCAATAATGGAAGACTTGTACAAAAACGTAAAAGAATTAGACCTTAATTCTCACAAACTGTATAATATGTTTTTATGCTTGAGTAATTTATTAGGTGTCAGTATAGACAATGGATCAGAATGCCAAAAAGAATTTCAGTTAAGGCTGTTGCATTTGAGCAAACTGAAAGTGGTAGTAACTCAGTCCAGGCTCCTCTGTCCCTGGGATTCTGCAGATAAGAATACTGGAGTGGGTTTCCATTCCCTTCTCCAGGGGATCTTCCCAACCCAGGGATCGAACCTGAGTCTCCTGCATTGCAGGCGGATTCTTAACCACATGAGCCACCAGGGAATGAGTCTACTCTTCCTCATTCTCAAGTTTTGAATCTAAAGAACTGTTAGAATGAAAGTCCCACTGACAAAAGATTTTAAAAGTCAGGTCATGTAATTGATTTTTAGTTTTAAAATTTATTATATATAGGCAGAAATAGAGATAGCAGGTGAGCTTTGGAATATAAGAAATAAATCATAACCACCTATAGAGGTGACAGGTGCAACTCAAAGTAGAAGATACTTGGGAAAACAAATGTAGAATGAGAAATCAACCTGTGATATGTTCACATTTTACAGTAAAAGTGAAAAAGCCCAAAAAGTGAAGAAAAGAGAGATGAGCAAGGGAGAGAGGCTTAAGAATCAGACTAGTCATAGAAAGCAATGGAGTAGTTTAGAGGTAAAATGAAGAAAGTATAGCCTTTGTTCAATTTTACAAAAAATCAAGAATAATTAAGAAATGAACATTTGACTGGGATAACTTGAAGAGAATAGTTTTC